TGTGTGTGTGTGTGTGTGTGTGTGTGTGTGTGTGTGTGTGTGTGTGTGTAAACATACGCAGTCCCCATGCAACAAAAAGGAAGAATCCTTAAGTCTAGGCTGCCATTTATACTTCAGTTCTTAATATTTGGGCCAGAGATTCTTCCCTGATGAAATAGTAAATATTTGCAATCAAAAACTATTTTGCCTTTAAGAAGTAGGTTTTAAAATGACACTTCTCTCATCACATTTCCCATCAGAGTCTTGTTTTTAGTTAAGATTTTATTTGAAGATGTCACTAAAACAAGGTATAAAGCTTTATTTAGATAAAAATATTGGGAAATCAGAGTCATATAAGCCATGATAATTCATGGGAGTTTCCTTTGCTGAGATTATTAGATTGTCACTGGCAATGTTACATACACTGAAAGCATTTGAAAACATATTTTCAAAAATCTGTGTAATCACTCCAACAGGAAAAACTGCTTCAAAGGAAATAGAAGATCATGCATGTAGCTAAGCATGACAGGGAAAAGCTTTATCAGTCCCAAGACCTGAGTTCTATTCACTTTTTAACATTTTGTTTTCAAGCAACTGACTTAACTTCCCTGAGTTTTTTACCTCCAAACAAAGAGCTTTTTGCCTCTCAGTTCACTAAGAACCATTGTTGGCATCAAATAAAACTGGATAATGTATACGAAAGCACTTTGAAAATCAACTGGAAAGTTCTATACAGTATTGGACAGAGTTCAGCATGGTGCCTTATACAATGTAGATGTTAAACACATTTTTAATTGATTTCATTTAGAGGTAGAAGTCAACATTTTGAATGCAATGTGTTGAAAAATGTTTTGAAAAAAGTTCTTAGGATTTTGCTATAATAATAATAATTTACCATTTGTTGGGTCCTAACATACAAGTACTATTTTAAACACCTTTTCAATCACTTGCTTTTCTCAGCAACATAGGAGTATAGGTACTACTATTATTCACATTTCACAGCCAAGGAAACTGAGGCTCAAAGGGGTTAAATAAGCTGCCTGAATCATATAGTAAATAAATGTTAGAGGAAATAAGCTACCTTAGTTACAACGTTCATTGTTATTCCAGCGGCCACATTTTTTTTCCTCTAGAATACCAGCTCCCATTTCTGCAATTTAGCTTCCATGAGCTTCCTAAAGATGAAAAGAGAGATTTCCCCACCAGTTCAGAAATTCTCAGAAGTCTTTCAGGCCACTCATCACAAGCGTGGCAGAGAAGCCCCTTCCACTCTCCTGACCCGAGATTGTCTCTGGGGTTTTGTGCTCTAGGAAGTATTAGGATGGCCGTGCCAAGCTCCATGGCTTCCCACAAACTGCGGGTCATGCTGCACTTTATGAAATGCACCCCTCAAGATCTTAAGAGTCTTACAGTGGACCCACAGAACCAAAGAAACGCTCACCCTCTATTGTAGAATCCTGCTCCTTAACCATCTGACAACATCAGTGGATGTTGTTTTCATGTCCAGTTTTCTAATGGCGTTTAATTTCTAAATGAAAGGCACACATGATTAGTTCATTTGCATTTGGACCCTTTATGTGACCTCCAGGCCACCCACTGGGTGTGGCTCTTGATGCTGCCACTAAGACCTCCTTAACCTGGTGGGATCTTCGCCAAGAGATGGGCAGGGTGGATGCAAAGTGTTGGACCTCCAACTCCAATAGGTTGACAGATGCTGCTGGTCTTCTCCTGACTTTCCATTCCCAGCCTTCTCTTCTCTGACCCTGTCTACTCCCCTGCCCCACCCCTAGATGTCTTTTTCTTCTGAGGAACAGGTTAGAAGATGGAGTTCCTGGGCTAATTTGCCTCTGATATAGTTTGGCTAACGAGTGACTAATTCAGTATTATTTACTTTTTAGCAGAGTGACAAAGACCTCGATGATGCCTTGGATAAACTCTCTGATAGTCTAGGACAAAGGCAGCCTGACCCAGATGAGAACAAACCAATGGAAGATAAAGTAAAGGTAAAAAAAAAAAAATTCACTAATTGAAATTTTAATCCTTGGGTCTTGACTCTATCATTGTCTTAGGAATATTGATATGAACTTAACCTATATTTAAAAAATGAAATTATAATGATAGAGAAAAATCAATCTGTAACTCCACTGGAGGGGAAGGTCACTGAATCTGTGGTAAAGAGACCAGCGGAGCCTCCTGGAGGAGATTCTGGGAGGTAGGTGTGGCTTATGCATGGCTTCCTCCCATGCAACACTGGCAGTCAGCACATCCATTCAAATTAGCTATTGTCCCAGGGTTGCTTATAAATAGGCAGAGTTGTAAATATGACTTCTTTAAATGGCAAGGTACAGTGGCCTGATTTTTTTTTAGAAAAGTTAAACCATACAGGAAAAAAAGAAAAAGATATATTATACCTTTGGGTTCTAATCTTCTAACATGGTTTCTGAGGATAATTATTTAATCATGTATTTCAATTTAAAATATAGCTAGAAAATTCACAGATATGAATTGACATATAGAAGCATATGGGTTTATGTATTTTAGCCAACTAGCAGTCTGTTGAAGTCATCTGTGTTGTTCTGTTGCTTAAAAAATAAAAACAGACCATATGTTTTGCCTCATAAAAATATAACAAATACTGAATGCTACATTTGACAATGTATTTTCTAAATGAAAGAGGAAATGGATATTAATTATATCTGCTGACCGTTTATATAGGAAAAAGCCAAAGCTGAACATAGAGACAAGCTTGGAGAAAGAGACGACACTATCCCACCTGAATACAGGCATCTCCTGGATGATAATGGACAGGTATACTGAGGCAAATTGCTAGATCGGATTTATGCTACAAAGATCTTTAAATTCAAACCTCCCTTGAAATAAATAGTAGCTGCACTCTTTTACAATAGCATAAAAACTTATCATAACTGACTGCTTTTCATGTGTCACCGAAGCTGACCAGCAGGTAAATATTTATTTGAGCCAATATCATTGTACATGCATATGCTAGGCTCTGTGGTATAAACAGGGTTGAATCCTGTTCAGTCATTTACTGATGCTTAAGAGTGATCCAAGAAATGTGATTCTCTTTTTCAAGAAAAGCTATAAAAATGACTAAGGTGATAGGATTTCAAAGGAAGTAATCCCTGTTTAAGGAGAGCAGAAGAGGAGCTGGTGTTGGGATAATCAATAGTAAAATCAATAAGGCAACTCCAAGACCTGGGGTCTCCCTATCTTCTACATCACCACCAGCACTATTGAAAGTGTATACAGGCAAAGCAATACTCCCAATCACAGATCCTGTTTCTCCACCAAAAAGTCCCTGGCCTTCTGTCTTCCACATGGTAGAGGCTAGTCTTTTGTAGGTCAACCAGGACTGTTCCATGCCTCTTTCTTATTTGGTTTCTACTTTTTAGTCAATTAGATGAAAAATTACCCTTTCCATGCCTGTTCATCAAATAAAACACAAGGAAGAGCACATTATACCCTTCTCTTTCTGTACTGATTCATTTTGATGCATAAGGTGACTCCTGATTTAAATAGCACTGTCAGCCTCAGGGTAGCCTATTATAGGAACCAATTCTCCTTGCTTGCATTCAGTATTCCTCAAGACAGAAATTCCACATCCTGCTAGAGTCCTTGCCACTTTGATAGTACCAACTCACCCTGCTTGCATTCTTTGGGAAATTTATTATTCAAGGCCCTTGCCTTTGACGATGGGAAAGATCCCTGATGACTTTCTAAGTGTAATAAGCTATAGTAAATAAGATATAAAAACACAGATAACTTTTTATAACACTTTAAGTAGAATTATAATTGATAATACATAATGGCCGAAGGTTCACAAATAGCATTTCTTTCACTTCCAGTACCAGACTCTTTCCTACGTTTCTCCCAAGTCTATAGAAATGATTTTAAAGAATAGAAACTAAGCAAAGCTGGTGAATAAATAGTAGGGACCCAGGTTTATTAGTTATTGCAAGTCTATACTCCATTTTATCCAAGTCAAGTCACTGGATAATAGATTCTCTAAATACTGCCTAAACCTAAGTAAATTTTTACAAAGATTTATGCTTAACCAATAGTCTGCCTTATTTTTAAGGACAAACCACTGAAGCCACCTACAAAGAAATCAGAGGAATCAAAGGTAAAGACCATAGGAACATATTTCCATTACATCCTGTTAGGGTTATTCAGCATTTTAAAAAACTAAAGCATATTGAATGCCTACTCTGCGCCTGGTACTTTGTCAAAACATGCATATACATGTGTGTGTCTACTGTTTACCTCTCAGTTAGTCTTCACAAAAGTCCTTTAAGATAGAAAACTGAGGCTCAGAGAATACTAAGCAACGTACATTAAAGAGTAGAGGAAAATAAAGCCGTCAAGATTTTCTTACTTTTCTGTCTCCTTTACAATACATTATTGTTAGTAAAGAATGTCAGCAAGTTTTTTTTTCATACAGAAACATCTTTTATTTGTAAGTGATGTGGGAAAATACACCATATTGCATTTTGCTTCTTCACTGATGGTTATTTCTACTCATATCTCAGAAGCCTGCAGATGACCAAGACCCAATTGATGCTCTCTCAGGAGATCTGGACAGCTGTCCCTCCACTACAGAAACCTCACAGAACACAGCAAAGGTACTGTGCTTTTTCACGTAGACTTTCTTTGAAATGTATGTGTACATATATATAATTTTGATTTATTGATTGATCTAAATATCTGTCTATCCTGTAACAGGGTCTTACTCTATAGCCCAGGCTAGAGTGCAATGGTTATGATCTCAGCTCACTGCAGTCTCTGCTTCCCAGGCTCACGTAATCCTCCCACTTCAGCTTCCTGAGTAGCTGGGACTACAGGCATGCACCACCATGCCCAGCTAATTTTTGTATCTTTTGTAGAGATGGGGTTTCACCATGTTGCCAGGCTGGTCTCAAGCTCCTGGGCTCAAGTGATCTGCCAACCTCTGCCTCCCAAAGTGCTGGGATTACAGGCTTGAGCCACTGCACATGGCCCTTATAAATTTTCAACTGTAGAATGAATCAAACGATGCCATAGAAAACCTTAAAATGAAAAGAAAAAATATCTATAATTCCACTGCCCCCACCAAACACTATTATTTTGTGGATTTTCTTTTTTTCTATATGTATGTTTTATATAATTATACTTAGAGTCCACTTGCAAAACATTGCGTAACATTATTTCTTAAATGTTACTTTGTAATTTCCATAGCCACCATTTTTTATCTCCACACTATATGGTTGTGCAACAACACTGCTATGTCTGTATTCATTTAAAGTGAGAGCAGGCCCTCACTACAGCAGGCATTCTCATGCTCTTTTGCTCTCTGGAGCTTCCTCCCCTTTTCTGTCGGCTCAGCACAACTGGTGACTCTTCATTCCTCAGTGCACAGCTCAAGCATCAGCTCCTTAACGGAATACTTTCTTGTCTTACTTCTTCTCCCTTCCCAGGCCAAAGTTAGAGGCCTCTCTCCCATGCCCTCCTTGCTTTCTGGTTACCTGTCTGTGCTTGTGTATCACACCACTGAGCTGTGCATTTTATACAGTAGTGATGTGTCTTTGACCTCAGTGCTTCTCATACAGCAAAATACCTGGCACTTAGCAGGTGCTTACAACATGATTAAAAGTGAATGAGAAATGTCTGTGTAATTAAACAACTGTGGAGCATTTTCCCTCAAGCTATACCCTCTTGTAAATCAAATGTGTCATTCCTTCCATATTGGTAGTTTAATTTCTAGACCACCTTAGCATCCTATCTGTATCTTGTAATTAATGCCCTTTTTGGTGAATGGACTTTATTTTCATGTAACTTACTCCAGATTTCTCCTCCATAACACTGAAAACAGGGTTTTGTTTTTGCCCTTTTGGCACACAAAAGCCAATCCTGATAGAGACAAACTCCATTTTGTTTTTTAAATTTTATTGTGTATATTTCAGATTTAAAACATGGTATTTAGGATGAAATACCAATATTTACAGAAATAGTAAAATGGTTACTGTAGGGAAGCAGATTTACATATCTATAACCTCACACAATTACTTTTTGTGACAAAAGCAGCTAAATTTTAACAAAAATCCCTAATACAATTTTATCCTTAGTCCTCTTGTTGTTTGTTAACTCCCTACACTTGTTAATTCTGCATATCTGCTATTTAGTATCCTTCAACCTATATCTCTGTTTCCACTTCCTGCCCCCTACCATGGTAACCATGTTTTATTCTCTGTGTTTTTGAGCTTTTTCTTTTATATATATTCTACATATAAGTGCAATCACTTTTCTTTCTGTATCTGGCTCATATCATCTAGTATAAGGTCTTCTAAGTCCATCCATATTGTGGCAAATGGCAGGATATCATTTTTTAAGGCTGAATAATATTCATATATATATATATATATATACACACACACACACACACACACACACACACACACACACACACCTTTTTTATCCATTCATCAACAATTAGGTTATTCCATATCTTAGCTATTGTGAGTAATGTTGCAGTGAATCTGGGAGTGCAGACATCTTTATAAGGTGATCATTTCATCTCCTTTGGGTATACACCCAAAAGAGGGATTGCTGGGTCATATAGTAGTTCTACATTTACTTTCTTTAGGAGCCTCCATACTGTTTTCCATAATGGCTGTACCAATCTGCATCCCCACCAACAGTGTCCTAGGGTTCCCTTTTCTCCGCACCCTTGCCAGCATATATCATCTCCTTGACAAACTCTGCTTTGATTAGCAAAATAAGGTCTGGGTGAGTCATGCACCATGAGAATTGGCAGAGCATCAGTGTGGCCCACATTTCTCTCCTTATTTCTATCCTTTTTCCCTCCTGCTTTAAACAATTCTCTGACACTCACCATTGTTCAAAAAAT